TTCACTGGACTGCCACAACTTCTCAAATAGGTTGGATAGTGGGTTAGCCACTTCATCTGCCAGTTCCCTCAGGACCTGTGGATGCACCTCATCAGGTCTCATGGATTTGTGTACCTCCAGGTTCCTCAGATGGCCTTGAACCTGATCTTCTCCTACAGTGGGCAGTTTTTCATTCTGCCAGTTCCTGCCTTTGCCTTCTGTGACTGGGGCGGTGTGGCTGGAGCACTTGCCAGTGACCGAGGCAAAACAGTTGTTGAGTACCTCAGCCTTCTCCATATCCCAGGTAGCCAGGCATCCTATTTCCTTCTGGAGAGAGCCCACATTTTCCCTAGTATTCTTTTCACCACCAACATATCTATAGAAGCTTTTCTTGTTACCCTTGACATCCCTGGCCAGATTTAATTCTATCAGGGCTTTGGCTTTCCTAACCCGATCCCTGGCTGCTCGACAGTTTCTCTGTATTCCTCTGAGCCTACCTCTTCTTGCTTCCCTCTGTAGGCTTCCTTTTTTGTTTGAGTTTGTCCAGGAGCTCCTTTTTAATTCACACAGGCCTCCTGGTGTTTTGCCTGACTTCCTCTTTGTCAGGATGCGTTGCTCCTGAGCTTTAGGTCTCAAATTACTTGAATGAAGAAGGTTATACATTTAAGTATAGAATCTAGAATCAGCTTTTAAACTGTCAAAACTTCACTGTCTTGTGGAAAAGCTAGTCTTTGGGCTTCATGTTTTAGCACCTTCTTTTCCATGGGCGAAGTTTTTTGTGAGAATTTCATAAGTGAAGTGTCAGCATTTAGCTAGCCAAGTGACTTTAGTTACAGTACATTTGTTTAACTATTGCAGGGCGGGAACTACCTATAAGGTAAATGTTTTTGGAATGTTTGAAGGAGGAGAGAGCAACCCCCTGGTTGGACAAGAGATGACCACCCTTTCAGATACTACTTCGGAACCATTTTTATCTAGAGGTAAACAGGACTAAATTGAATAAAAGGCAGTCTTGGCTTTTGGATAAAAAAAGACCAGAAGTCTACCAGCATTTCATTGTCGTTTTTATAATGCACATAAATATTTATTTACAGGATTCAGTATACTCCCTACCCTGATGACATAACCTCTGATCTGAAATGACCACTAAGTACGTCCCAGTTCACAATTCTAGTCCTCTGCACCCTGTAGATGATCTTACAAACATGATAACTCAGACAACCCATGTTTTGCTGATTACTCAAAGCCATCTGCATTGCATTTTCAAGCCATCCACATCTGTGTTAAATCACATAAGGTCAAATTCTTGAGCAGAGATCATAGCTCATCTACAGGGGTGTTCACAGGAGTAGAACAAGGAATTTTAAGCAGATCTTTAGCCCTTTGCTTGTCCTTATATGGTGACTTTTCCTTTTGAGACTAGGATGATATAATGAACAAAGATCTGATAGCTGGGAATGTCCCAGTGTTATTGTGTGTTATTTAAGTTTTTATTCAGCATAACCATTATCTAGTTGTTATTTTTTACTACAGAAAGAGTATATTTAGTTCAGAAGTGCAATTGCTGAGTGCTCTCCAGTATCTGTTTTGGAGTTTCTCCCTGTGTAGTTAAACCTTCCAAAGCTTCTATGAAAGTTATAATAGCAGCTCCCTTGGTGTGGTTCCTGGGCCTCTGCATGCTAATAGTTGTGCCCACCAAACCCTGAATTAATATTGGATTAGGAGAGTTTCAGGGCTCGGTCTTCCTTCATGGAAAGCATAAAGAACCAGGTCTTTGCTTTTTAATAGCCAAGTATGCACATAGAAGTAAAGACTTTTCTCCTCTGCTGTTTCAAGGCTTGCATAACCATCAGATAGAATTCGGTGAGGAGAAAGAGCCTAACTACAAACGTCTTTCAGGGTTAAATAAAGAAAAAAAAAATTCTGACATTTGACACTATAGTCTTTTCGCTTAACCTCTTCGATGCCTTGTTTCCGCACAAGGCTGTGAAAAAATACCTTGCGTAACTTTATTGACAACATTTCTAGAAACTTCTTAATTAATTGCTGTCCCACTCTGTCTAATACAAGAGGGTAAAACTGAGAAAAACTATGGAACAGGCCTTTCCTGTGGAGTGACCTTAGAGTAAAGTTGTAATAAGTCTGTCAGAAAAATAGTTGTACCAAGAGTGGTTTGCTATTTTTCATTGCAGCAGCTGACATTTCTGTCTTCAGTGTTATAGTCTTTAAGCTAATAAGTTTTACTAATGCATGGATTTGAGTCATGGTTTATGTGAAAAATGAATTTTATATCTGGGACTGTAAATGCAGTAGTACATTATTTATTAATAGAGGAAAAAAAAGTCACCCTAGGTCTGGTGCCTTTGCTAGAATTTTCCTTGTGGGGAATTATGGTAGTTGGAAGAAAAATAAAAGTCAAAATAGTTTAACTTTTATATTGTACATGAAGCTAACTTTAACTTCCATATTAAAGTTATGCATGCAATTTTTTGAAGTAACATGGTTTTACTTAAATCCTACTCCCAACTGATTTTATTGTCCTGACTAAAGACTAGATCTATATTTTCTATGCAGAAGAGGATCATGCTTTTAACCCCCAGGTACATGGAATAGTTATATTCATGAGTCTACAGTGTTGGATCAATTATGTGGAACATATATGAAATCACAATATCTTTCAACTGTGATGAGTGTGGCTGATTTTTCTCAATGGGATTTCTTCCATATAAAGACCAGAAGCCCTGATGGCAGGAAGCCAGAAAATTTGCAGCTGGTAACACAATCTACAGGAAAAGAGAGAGAGCAAGGATTTTCTTTTTTTTTTTTTTTCAAATGGCTGTGGATAAAATCATTGTGTCTTTCTGCTTTGTATAAACATTTTGTGATTTTCCTTGTGAAGAAAACAATATGATGCATATTTTGTTCTGTAATTTGTAAACTGAAGATATCTGAAATAACTTCCTACCTTTTCAGAACATTGCAGCTTTATATAAATGTTTGTTCTTGTCCCCTCTCAATCTCTTGACTTGTGTTTATGTTTGTGCATCTTCTCTAAATTGTGTTCTTTTCTTTATGTGCAAACTTCTATATCACTTGTATTACTATGTCTTTTCCCCCTGAAAATTCAGAAATGCAGTTTATTTGAAAGTGATTGTAACATATGCTATTAATTCCACTATTATATAGTTGAAAATTAAGCAGTAGTTTAGCTATCCATGACACACTAAAATACTGTAAATTTGGATAATCTGATAGTGCTCACTGCCATGTCAATGGTTAGTTCAGTAATCTTTTACAAAACCTCTGAAATCAAGTTATCAACCATCTTTAAAGACCAAAACAGATAATGACATGACAATAGAGAAGAGCACTGGCCTTGACATTTGTGAAGTCTCATTTATAAAAGGAAACACATGAAGAAATTTATACAGCTTTTGCCATGGAACCACTGACTAGTGTGAATAATGTTCACAAAAAAGTCACACTTGACAGAGTGCCATTGAACATCAATAGAGCTCATTTGGAAGCTAACTCATGACATACGTCATATAAAAGTATGGGGAAAGAAAGCTCTTATGATTAAGCTGTATTTTTCCAGTTGAAAGCTTTAATGCTAAGGTTATATGTTTCTGGTTGACATGGCAGGTCTAGAATGTAGAACCAGAGCAGAAGCTGATATCGTGCTGCTGGTGGACGGCTCATGGAGTATCGGGCGGCCAAATTTTAAAACTATCAGGAACTTCATTGCCCGTATTGTTGAAGTTTTTGATATTGGTCCTGACAAAGTACAGATTGGTAAGTCCTCATATGTTGGAGGGAAAATGTGGTGTAGCTGCTGCACAGCCCCATAATAACTGAGTAATGATGGCTTTTTTCCAGGTCTTGCACAGTATAGTGGAGATCCCAGGACAGAATGGAATCTCAATGCTTACCGAACCAAACAGGCTTTGTTAGAGGCTGTAGCCAACCTACCATACAAAGGAGGCAATACTCTAACAGGTATGATACACTACCAGGATTTTCCTTAAACTCCAATAAAAACAATTCTAGTAGCAGACCCCAGTATTGTTCAGTGAGCTCAAATTCGTCCATGATGAAAGGGCCTTACAGTTCAATTCAGTATATTTGGAAGAGAACATGCATAACATGTAGACATATAAACTCAGTGGAAATTTGGAGAAAAAGTGGTGGAGGAGAGCTTGGGTGATGAAGAGCTTCAGTTGCTGTTGAGTATATAAGAAAAAAAGGAGGTTCCATGTCAGGGTTGGGATGAAGACAAGGTGAAGACCCAGAAGGGAGGCTAGAGGAGATCAGGTAGGATAGTGATGCATAAAAGATAAGAGATTAGAGACTTTGAGAGGGCTGAAACAGTATCAGTTGCTGGTAAGCCTAGATGATGGGCTGCAACTATATTCCGAGTGCTTCTAGAAGGAATTAAATTGTGAAACGATGTTGTCAGGAAGAAATCACTAGGATGAAATACTCTCCTTTACCAAATATTCTTCTTTACCATAACTACTATACGAAAATAGTTTATAGTGATGTTTCCTTCTTTGTATCACACTAGGAATGGCCTTGGATTTCATCTTAAAAAACAACTTCAAACAAGATGCAGGCTTAAGGCCCAGAGCTCGCAAAATTGGTGTTCTCATCACTGATGGCAAATCACAAGATGATGTAGTCACCCCTTCAAGAAGACTCAGAGATGAGGGAGTGGAACTTTATGCGATTGGTAAGTATTATATGAAGAGGTGGCCTGCACCAATCCCCTCCTGCCCATCTGCTGAATTCACAGAGAAGTGGTCACATACATAAGTACCTGAAAGGATATTCAAAGAATGTGTTTAGGGACTTAAGTCATGGCATTATGTTTCATGGCCATCATTTCTAACAAATGTTGTTTTCATGTCTTCTCTGTAAGGTATTAAGAATGCAGATGAAAATGAATTGAAGCAGATTGCAACGGATCCAGATGACATCCATGCTTACAATGTTGCAGATTTCTCGTTTCTGGCTAGCATTGTTGACGATGTAACCACAAATCTGTGTAACAGTGTGAAAGGTCCAGGTACATCACATTTTCAGTCTTAATTCATCCTTTTTTCACTTACATGCTTGTACTGCTGCTTGCTTTTTATTACTTATTGGGAACACTGTGTAGCCCTGGGCTGTTTTTTCAGCTGCTGTTGTGAGGAAGTTGTGCAAACCACCTGGACTACCCTGCAGGGGTTCTTCCTTTCCTTTCAACAATTATTGTGTTATACCTAACACAGCGTGACATGGCTGGGCATGCCTTCTTTTCTCCTGGAGTCAGGAAGTATGTTGCTCAGTGTGTCATCTTTTTGCTCATTGTGGGCGGTTCCTTGATGATACTTATCCAATCAGGAAAGTTTCAGCAGCCCTGCTCTTTTCAAGTATTAATGACAGCCCAAAAGCAAAGCTAAGCATGCAAAAACAGTAATGTTAGCTGATGGTTCTTCAGTGAAACACTGGTGTTTAAGCTGGAGTAGGAATGATAGGGAGCTTGTTTGGTCTTGAGGGTGCGATCGTGAGCTATCTCTTCACACAGTTGTTTTAAGAATTCCTGAGGAAACAGAAAAGTAAGCAAGTACCTAAAGTGTGGGGGTTTTTCCTAAGCAATTTTTTTTGGTCTTATGTTTTTATTACTGATGATATAAGATAAATCAATAATTTTTAAATTTGCTTCCACTTTTAGGTGATTTACCGCCTCCCTCTAACCTAGTTATTTCAGAAGTGACACCTCGTTCTTTCAGACTGAGATGGACTCCACCTCCTGAGAGTGTTGATAGATACAGAGTTGAATATTACCCTACCTCTGGAGGTAGCCCTCAACAGGTTAGTACTGCATGTTCATCGCTGACATTGTCCATAATACCCTTGGACTTCCACATTATAGTAATGTCATTCCGTTTATGCTGTGTATGGTATAACAGTAAATGAAAAAATGCTCCCAAGGTCAAGAATATCCTGCCTCGGTAAATGATACACAAAATTATGAAAAGTAGAAGCATAAAGGTGACTTTAGTTGTTTTAAAATCATGAATTCAGGAGTAAATTTTATTTCTTAAAAAGTTGACTGGTGTTTCTGTTTCTAGTAATTCCTTTCTGTTCGTATTCCATTGTCATATATTTGTTTAAATAAGTCTGTGGTAGAAATTTTCATACTCATGGGTGGGCTCATTGTCCATTTTCTTGCTAACACAAAAAAAGACAGTGGATGATACAGGTTGTGAGGTAGTGCTCAGATTAACAGTGTACTTCGAATGGTGGTACTTTGAATCTGTGCCTAAGCATATCCTCCAAACTGTTTAATGCACGGAGTCAAACTCATCTTGTGGTTGTTCTCTAGACAGAGAGCCCTTGATTCTAGGCAATCTGAATTGCTCATAACTCTCTTCAACCAGAAAGAAGAGTATTTAGGAGAATGAAGTTAGGCATCTCTGTGTAGCTGACTCCAAACCTCCCACCTCTGAATGTGGCTTTTAAATCTTAACTCAGATTTGACTCATGGAGAATTTAATCTTAATAAATCATGACCTCAGGATTTAGCCTTTGATTAGGGTTGGAGCAGCCATTCCAGCACACCCTGACTTTACAGCCTGACTGCTTACTGGCATTTCTGTTCTGCAAGGTGTTGCTAATGCCATGCGCTGCAACCCTCTAGATTGTTCTGAGTGTTTAAAACTTTTTTCCAAAACACGTATCTCTGGCACTTTCTTTGTCTTGCTGAGCAGTATGAAAGTGTAAACCATGTGAGAAAGCAGGATGCACAGTGAGTGCTGCTAGATATATCCAGCTCTGTTGTAATCGTCTGTCTGAGGCTTTCCTACAGCTTGCTTTGCAAAAATAATGATAAACTGTCAGACAAATTCATAGAAGATTAAGACCATATTTCTTTTTAGTTCTGTACCATTGGTTTCTGAAGTTTCACAAGGAGTGATTTTTTTTCTTAGAGATAAGGTTACAAATGCATTTGTTGTACAGTGGTTAACATTGCTTCTCTTTTATGTAGTTTTATGTAAGTAGGATGGAAACGACGACAGTTCTGAAAGATCTGAATCCTGAAACAGAATATGTTGTTAACGTGTTTTCAGTGGTAGAAGATGAAAGCAGTGAACCTCTAATCGGCAGGGAAACAACTTGTAAGTTAGAAATGGAACTTGAATAACATGTTAATAGCCCATTTGGCATATGGGGAACTGTCCAGTAGAACTTTTAGCACTACAGGCTTTCTTCTTAGAAGAAAGAATGGTTTTGATTTGAATGACCAAATTGTCTTGTATTACACTAGTTGGTCAGATCTTGGCTGAAAAACTTTAGCAAAGTGAAATTGCATTGAGATAAAAATTGTTTGTCCCAGCTTCTTTCCAGGCTCATAAAGCATGACTGTACAAGACTAAAGAAACACACATGAATTACAAGACAGAGTTTATAAATTCCTGAAATCTGATCATATATAAACGTGTACACCTTCATTTTTATGCTATGTAATTCCTGCTACTGGCAGCCAGAATACTATAGAAATCCATTCTAATTTTATAAGATTAACAAAAAGCCAGTTAAACACGATTACATAACTTCTGTGAGAAATGACTTAGCCATTATGTTTCTGCTATTAGCTGTCTAAGGCTTGATTTTGGGTATATTTATGCTGAATGCAGAATTGGGTGACTTTCCCGCCTCTTTACGTATATTGAATGTTAGGTGTTCATTTCACTTCTTTGATTGTTTTGTATTAGGCTCGTCACAAACCCTTAAAGTCTGTACATGATTTTTATGAAGTCTGTGGTAATTTTTAACGTTTATTTAATAATTTGAGAAATACAGAAAAAAAAGAAACTGCAAAAAATCCTTTTATATGTACATATCGCAAACCGGTCATGTTCTGTTTCATATTAGAGCACTCTATGTGAGTTAATGCTGCTTTTTAAAATATGCAAGTGTTCCAGTGCAGACTTGTAACATAGTTTTAGCTGTGTGTAGCAAATCTGTAGCACATTCAAAATGTGATGACCATTACCTCATTCTTAAATTAAGCACCACTTAAAATGCTACTCTTTGCAGATCACCTTTCAGCTACCCATAGTGTACCCAAATACTCATGTGCAATATTCTTGGTGGTATGTGAAATATAAAAGGTGAAGAAGGTGAAGGAAATAAATTAATATATACCTTTTATTTGGCAGTGCCAATCTCTTCAGTTAGAAACCTGAATGTTTATGACATAGGATCAACTTCCATGCGAGTGAGATGGGAACCTCTCAATGGAGCTACTGGTTATTTGTTAATATACGAACCTGTGAATGCCACAATCCCAACCACAGAGAAAGAAGTAAGAGAATTTACCTTCACTTTCAGTGAATAAAATAATCTACCAAGAATAAATTAATAAAAAATGATAGATTTTCTTGATGTATCGTAATAATCAAAAGAGACTGTCATGTACTTCTCAAAGTGCAGTGGACTTACTCAGATATTGTATACAATGACATCAGTCAGGAAGCTGTAAATATACCGCGAATCTCACAAACAAAATTCTCTTGAAGTTAAATCATTGCTTGCTTTTCTGCCATTGCTTTCTTCAGTTTTTAAACATGGTGTGTTATTTTTCATGTGCAGATGCGTGTTGGACCATCAGTGAATGAGGTTCAGCTGGTAGATCTCATCCCCAATACTGAGTACACTTTAACAGCTTACGTATTGTTTGGTGATATCACCAGTGACCCACTCACCACCCAGGAAGTGACATGTACGAAAATCTTGATTTTTGCTTTGTGGTTATTGCTTCAGCAACATTTAACTTTCATTTTATTTCATGCAATAGTTTTTATATATTTGGCTTTGTTTAGAAGACCATCTTTTCCATGCTTTATGCATTTTCTAACACTCATAATTTCTAAAGGATCTTAAAGGGAATTTCGATGAAAAGGGACTATTAAAGAGGAAGAGCTATTAAAAGAGGAACAACAGGGTTTTTTTTTTCCTTGAATAATTAAGGGAGTTGGCTTGGCAATCTTGAGGTTATGGTGTTTTTAAAAGGTCTCAATTTTGCTTGCATTAACTTAGAAACCTTGTTCCCAAATTCAGACATTGTTAAGTGTAGAAAATGCTGGAGAAGTGTGCCATACCAAGAAAAAAAGTTGATCTAAACATGGCTTCTTTCTTAAAACCTTTTGTTAAACATCCTCCCTTAAATGTTTCCTACTGGCAGAGGCATGTTTCTGGGCCAGACGCATGCAGTATAGTTATTCTTACGTTCTTAAAAAATGAAAAACCCTGAACTGTACATGAAAAATGTCTGCTGTCACCAAAAGTTGTAATCTTAAGCACTGATACTGCTAAAAGCTTTGTGTTCATAATTTACCAAAGTGAAGCTACTGTAGTTTATGGCTATTTTGCACAATGCTGGGAAAATAAGCTCTTAAATTGTCTCATCTAATGGCCAGAGCAATGAACTTCCTAGAAAGTTATTGCCTCCATTTCAATGAAATGCATGAAAATAATTTAATTCCTTCCATGAGAGACCTATACCTCTGCTGTGAATAGCATTTTCACTTACTACTGTCATAATTTTTACAGTACCTTTGCCTGGACCCAGAGGATTAATGATTCAGGATGTTACTCACAGCAGCATGAATGTCCTTTGGGATCCTGCCCCAGGCAAAGTTCGAAAATACATCCTAAGATACAAAATAGCTGATGAAGCTGATGTAAAGGAGGTAAATGATAGGAACATTTTTGAAAGTACTAGAAGACAGTTTTATTTTGCGGAGCTAGGTTATTAAAACAATGGTAAAAGTAGTATTATAAGCCACCATTAAGAATAAAGAACATCAGATCTTGGTGTTTGCAGTCAGAAAAGAGTACTGATTTCTTGGAAATTGAATAAGCATGAGATAGATTTCTTTGTGTAGTCCCCTCTTCCTTCTCCTCCAGAGAGGAAAAAATCCTCAAACTGACTGGAGAATTTTTCTGTGCTTTGGTAGTAGCCATTTTTACTCTCTTTGTAAGTGTTGTCTTACCAAGGTCTAAAAACAGCTCACAATTAGGAGCATAAGATTGTGGAATAAAGGTATGTTAGCCCTTTGCCCACTGTCAGCACATATGTAAGCATTGTTAGAGATATCTTTGAGTTATGCGCAAGCTTTCCAGAATTGCACTGCTAGGCATGAATCAGCTCTTGGAGGATTAAATGTGTTTTTGTAAGGGAATGAGAATTTTCTGGAGATGCAGCCTGCATCCTCATTTCCAAAGGAATGAAGCAGTGAAAGATCCGCAAGTAGTACTAGTGTCTGAGACAATATGCTTTGTAAGGGAGTTAGTAGATAGCACTCAATATTCGGGTGTAAATTTAGGGGTAAATGGCAAAATTTCGTGTGGAATACTTTTCTGTTTTTCAGTACAGGAATTTCTGCCATTTAATCAAATGCAGAGTAAGGAATAGAGCAATTTACAATTCCTAAGTCACTGTTTTTATTCTTAGGTGGAAATCGACAGACTCAAAACCAGCACTACTCTCTCTGACCTTTCCTCACAAACCCTGTACAATGTAAAAGTTATTGCTGTATATGATGAGGGGGAATCCCTACCGATAAATGCAGAAGCTGTCACTCGTAAGTTTTCCTAATAAACCTTCTTGTGGTTATTTTTGCCTCATGTTCTATTTAAATAGTGTGTGTTGCAATATATTACTGAGCTTAGGTGGAACTGTAATTTAATTTATCTGAGAAATACTTTACCTGTATTTGTAGTATTATTTGCAATATAATAATCCCTGGGAATCTTAGATGAGCTTGGTGTCTTACTGCGGTAAACACTGAGCCTGCAGGCTGCAGAGAGGTGACACACCAGCAACTGAAGCAAAATTATCTATGTTTAGAGGCTGAAGGAGAAGTGTTGGGGTAGAATTAATAAGAAAATATGAGGGCAGAGGAAAAGTTTAGCAAGACTATGCAGGAATCTAGGAAAGTGAGTAGGAAGCTGGGACATATGCTAGATGATTAGAGAGACATGATCTTCCTTCTGATCCAAGAGAGGTTTTGTGCCTTGGAATGCTAAAGTAGTCTGTACTTTTAGGTAATCATAAAGGTGGCATTTGAATAGGCTCAACAAACAGAGGCAAGGAAATAATGTTGCACAAATGGGAACAGCCAATATCCCTACAAGAGAAGTGACAGACTGAAATGAGAAAGCTGGTGTCAGGGAAGACCTCATCCTGATCTAGGCTTATGATTTAAGAAGACAGCTAACCAGAAGAGCTAGAATAGAAATGAGCAATGTTACCTTATCACTGCCCCTCACTCTGATGTGAGAAAGAAAGAGAAAAAACATGCACGTCCTCTCTCTCCAACCCTCCGTCCCTGCCCCTGAATTTTTCATTTTGTAGCCTGGTGTATTTAAAAATATTTGTGAGATTTTTTTGCTTGCTTTTGTTTTTAGCCTTTCTTCTATAGCTGAGGTTTTCACATGGGTGAATGTGTGTGTAAGGAAAAAGAGGAAAGCTCTGCCAAAGAAATTATTTTTAGTTTAATTCTCTGATTTTAGCTATATACTAATTTCTTCCCAGTGGCTATAATATTTTGCCTTCTTAACCTACAGTTAACCTCTGTGAATTCTTTCTAAATAAGTGGTGTAATTTAGTCATGACTTATTTGGCTTATATAAAGACTTTTGAGATCTGAGAGAAACTCATGCAGGAGCTTGACCTCTGTGTGTGGGAGCTCATAATCACTCCTTCTAATTCCAAAATGTAAGAGCTAGAACTTCAGTTATTGTGTGTAGTCATGTGAGTTGTGACTTCCACTGAGGTCAGTAGAGCTACGTCTGTTTTATCAGGTGATGACCTGGTGATGTGACCTTATGAAGGACTGTTTGCTTAATGTAGGTGGGCTGGGTTATACTACAGCATTTTATTGTAGTCATTAGATGCATGGTAACTGAGAGATGAATCTTCTACATAATCTTCAGAATTCTTTGTCTGAGTAATTCCTTGGTTTAACTGTATTTATTCTATGGAATACTTTTCCTTTTCTCATAATAGAGCCTGTGCCAGCACCAGTCAATCTCAGAATTACAGATGTAACCACAAATAGTTTTAGAGGAACTTGGGATCATGGAGCTCCAGATGTCTCTTTATATAGAATAACCTGGGGACCCTATGGAAGATCGGAAAAACAAGAGGTAAGAATAGATCCTCGCCATAAGATTTTGTGGGCAGTCTCTCAGAGGGTGTATTTTAAAAATCAGAAATGTAATTAATAAATGGCCTATAACTTGCAAACTCTCCTGTTGTGCTCAATGGAAATTCAGTGAGAAGGTGTAGAATACATAGTTACAGCCAATTGTAGTGATGTTATGGTGTAAAAAGTTATACCCCACTCTCTGTTTGTTTGGTTTGGTTGTTTTGGTTTTATTTATTTATTTTTTACCTTTTTTTTTAAATTTCTCCACAAGACTATCTTAAATGGGGACGAGAATAGTTTGGTCTTTGAGAATTTGAATCCAGATACATTATATGATGTCTCAGTTACTGCCATCTATCCTGATGAATCAGAAAGTGATGACCTCATTGGCAGTGAACGAACATGTAAGTAAATAAAGGGTTTCTGCATGTTGTTATTCATAGTTATTAAATCAGAAGGCATATACATACGAGAATTCTGAAAACTCTTTTTACTTTTTTCTAGTACCCTTGGTACCTATCACCACACAAGGTAAGAATCTGAATTTCCAGGTGTTATATTGTTAAAGAAAACTCAGAGCTATCTTTTTCTAAACTGTGAGCAATGTTGATGTTAAAAAGCTGAGATAGTTTAATAAATGTTATTGTGTATTTGGAGGAATACTGAAAGTAGGTTACCACATGTTTATTATTTTACAGACATTGCAGTTTATGTTGTCTTGTACTTAACACATTCTGCTCTTGGTCAGGCATTCATGCAGCCCTAAAAGTATGAATGAAGTGTTTGTCCCTCCGTTTTGCTTGAATTACGTGTTTATTCTTTTCTTTATTACATTTCTCAGCCCCAAAGAGTGGCCCACGAAACCTTCAGGTGTACAATGCAACTTCACACAGCTTGACTGTGAAGTGGGATCCTGCCAGTGGTCGAGTGCAGAGATACAGGATCATTTACCAGCCGATCAGTGGGGATGGCCCAGAACAGTCGGTAACTAATTTTGAAGTGCTGTGGTTATTCAACCTTAAATGATAGTTCTGCAAAGTAATCCATTGGAATAATTTATTTTTAAAGCACAACAGTGTATGTATTAATCACCTTTTTGGTAAAGATTTATATTTATAGTGGGTAAGTATATATTCCGACCTTTTTCTTTCTCCCCTTTCAAATCAAAGATAGAATGCTCTTTATGGACCAAAAATAACTTTGCATACAGCCTGTTTTCTTGGTAATCACATAATCTACAGATATAACCAGAATAAAGTTAAAATGTGTTGAGGAGCAAGTCAATCAGCACATGAAACGACAAGTCACAGATACACAGTTATGACAACAATCAATAATATTGAACTACCATGACTACTTCCACAGTCCAAAGTTTTCAAATGTTTTCGTAGTGTGGTTCATGTACTATCAGAGGGATTTGCCGTGGAACATACTGTGGACAGTTGAGACTGTATTTTACCATGCCAGGCACAGAATAACCACCCAGAAGTGGCAGCTGCAAAAACGAATCCATGCAAAACATACGCTAGGGAAGTGTTTAAGGTATTTTAGTGTCTTTTAATGCGATTGAACAGCTGTAATGATAGGGAGAGCCAGTACCATATCCTTGCGTTGTCAGCAAGAGCTGTGTTGACTACTGGTGGCCTATGCAGCACAGCCTGGGAATGGTAATTCAGTCAGCCTGTTTATCAGAAATGTGTGCTACTTAAAAATGCCCTCTTCTGCAGTGGGAGGCTGTTGTAGTTACTGCCAAATGACTCAGAGGAGCAACCTCACATAAAAACCACACTTGCTTAGCTTGTTCCTGTAATTGGAGATCACACATGTTCAGATGGGTATCTAGGAATGTTTACTTTAGAATCAGTTGGATACTTATGCAGGCATTTTTACTCTATTCTGAGATGCATTTGAGTTGAGGTAGTTGAACTGTTGAATTAATTGAGTAGTTGAATGCAAGTTTGGTGAGAAATCACTAGAAAAATAAGGAACAGCAATGAGGTTAATTAATAGCTGTAATTAATAGCTGATACTGGCCTAAAAAAAGAATTATGGACGTTCTGTTGAAATATGTGCAAAGAATAGACTTCATAGACTTAGTTATTCACAGCTGGATGGAGTCTAGCAGTGGCAGTCGGAGAAGATGCCTTTTTTGAGGAAAGCACACAGAGCACTTTTTAATGTCTGTCTGCAAATAATTCTCAATCATACGATAGTAATTCCCTGTCTGCTTTTTTTTTGTTATTGTGATATTTGATTAAACTGCTATTGCTGGGTAGGCAGTAGCAGTGTCCCCACTGAAATATTTAAAATAGAGTTTCTAGAAGATTTTATTGGTATGTCTGATGTTTAATGGCCTCAGCACCAAGAAAGAGCACAGGCAATTTGAAGACAACTCTGCAAAGACCACACGTCAAACTCCAGAGACCATCACGATCATTTAGGGTCAAGTTTTGAATGGCAAATAGATAGTAAAATATGGAGGCAGCCATGATGGGATGCTAAAAACATTTATGCTTTGAAGTGAGCTTTGTACGCTTGAGTACAGATAAAAAGTATCCTTGTAAACTAAAATAATCTACTCCTATGAACTGCGAAGATGTATAAATGCTTGCTTATTATCAGTTCTTCATCATCAGAAGCTTTTAAGTGTTATGACAAACATATTAGCTGAATAGGCTTTGAAAATGTGCAGATAGTCTTAAAAGTACAAAGGATGCTTTTGAACAAGTGTAATTTCACGCAATTAAAAACCAAAAAGCTCATGATTCACAAATGCTGAAGATCTAAGTATTATTCTCAGTGCACTGCAAATCTTTTCCTTGATGGGGATTATGATCACAGCATTACAAGTAAAAGAAAAACTGAAACGAAAGATATATAATGATTTTACACTCTTAACAAAGATGTTTTAGAAGCTGAAGTATCACACTGTAAAATTTTTGAAATCAAGGAGAGACAATGTTGATATTGTATCAAATGTACATTAGAGATCTGCAGATGTTGTAATTTGTTCCGTGCTTGCATTCTACCTGACAGTGGAATGTAAAGAGCCCAATTCAAAATCTGTCAAAATTAATAAAACACTCTATTGATCTCAGTATGATATAGTCAGAGGCAAGGCAGAAAAACAGCTCTGTGGTGGCACAGAACTGGCAATTGACATGCAATTATGGTTATGTGCAAGTTTGGAGGTCTTAAAGAACACTGGCTTTGTGCCACTGGACTCTGTCTAAACTTGCTAAGATGAATATGTACTAAACATTATTATTGTTCAATGTCTACTGTCAGCGTCAGTCACAAGAGCATTGCAGCCTGTGATATATCATAGTATTTTCCACTGTGCTTCAAATGCTTACATTCTTCACTATGACAGTAAGCATAAAAGAGGCAGCATAAAAGGGATTTTATTCTTTTTCTTTTATTTTGCTGCAGACTATGGTTGGAGGGCGACAGAACAGTGTGGTGATACAGAAGCTGCAGCCTGACACACCATATACTATTACTGTGTCATCAATGTATGCAGATGGTGAAGGGGGACGAATGACAGGACGAGGCAGAACCAGTAAGTAACTTCTTGAGATCGTCTCATTAGGTGTGAAACAAAGTTGATGTATTGCTTTTCATATTAGCTGAGAAAAATTTCTTGTGGCAAAATTACTCCCATCTGTATTTGCCATGTGTCCTTTATTTGATTTCAAGCATCTAAAGTAAGAAGGCCTGCCAGTGTGCAATGGAAAGTCAGACATAACAGTGTGTTTGGTGAGGAATGAGGAAAACAACCCTAATGAACTCAACGTTTAATTCTAAAATAGTGTCCAGAAAGGAATTTTTCTTGCTATATTTAGCATTCCTTATGCTGTCGGATGGGGATGATGTGTTCTGATTAACGAAGACAAGTAACATTTAACATGAACTATTAAACCTGTTGTGTTTTAAATTTCCTAATGATACATTACATAGGCGTGATCTGACAGCACAGGTGAGAGAATGTGGTACCACATTTCTGACAGCTCATTGATCTGTTTCAGAGCCTCTCACTACTGTGAAGAACTTGCTAGTTTATGACCCAACCACCAGTACTCTGAACATTCGATGGGATCATGCAGAAGGAAGTCCTCGCCAGTATAAAGTGTTTTATGGACCTACAGCTGGAGGTGCAGAAGAGATGGTAAATACTTTGAGTGTATCTCACTAACTGTCTCAGATAAAATGCAGGTCATGGTGCTGGTGAAATACTGCTGAGTGAAGTGGGTTTTGTTTGCCTGGGCACTGGCTTTTTTTCTGCTCATAGCTACTCTGGAGAAAATTCAGAGCACCTCCATGAAAGTCAGTTACTCCCATATGTATTACAGTTTGGTTTTATATTGTAGATCTTCAGTGATTAGCTTTTAGCGCGGGGATTTAATACCACACACAATTTTTTGTTTGTCTATTCTTAGGGCAGCGCATGTGAATGTAAAGCTGAATTCAGGGTGTACAAAAGGCTATAAAGTCAGTGGACCTAATTTCTACCCACTTCTACTGCTAAGAAGTCATGTGACTGTAGGCAGTCAGCCAGGATGATATTTGTGAAAGCAGAAAAATCCACATAGGTGTCTTATTCTAATCTCCTAAAATTACTTAATTGCTAAAGAGCTAAAACAATCTTGAAAATGGCAACCCTTGTTGCAGACTGGGACATTCTTTCCCACTTGTGTTTCTTTTTCCACATTTGTGCAATTCGATGTGCCTGTGAAATGAGAAGTATGTGTATCGCCACTGTTTCGCTAGCATCTAGAGAGCTACTGATGATAACTGTTCTTAAGTGCTGTGGAGTTTTATTTTCTAACATGAGCTGCTCATTACTTCTTGTCATTAGCATGTTGTAGTGTTATGTAAGGTTTATTTTTTTGATTTAGAAAGTTACTTTTCAATGCCTCTGAGCTGCTAAATAGTAGTCATTAAAGAGGCCAGTGCAGATTCTGCTACTGTTATTAATAAACAGGATGTGGACCCAAAAGTGAAGACAGCTGTAAGGGATTGTATAGGAGAGTGTAGGACTTAACAATCATTTTTGTTAAGTCTGAGACAGAACCTTCTTGAAAGGCAGTTCCAGAAGATACCATGAACCCTGTTACTTCAAGCTTCACCTTTTGTAAAGTTTTTATCACATCCAATCTAGAAACGGGATGTGGTGGAGGAGTAAGGGACATACAAAAAAGCTTAAACTTTTTGCACATTTATGTAAATGTCATGCTCCTAACTTTCTTTTTAAATGTGTAGACCACAGTACCAGGAAACACAAACTATGTCATCCTGAGGACTCTTGAACCCAACACACCTTACACTGTAACTGTGGTTCCAGTTTTCCCAGAGGGAGATGGTGGACGTGTCTCTGACACTGGAAGAACTTGTAAGTAAAATAGTCCTTTTCAAGAAAATTTTAGGATGTGAGTGGCTTGGATCATTAGAAATTGATTTTACATCAAATGTGGAAGTTTATTTTCCTAAAAGCCGAAACATAAGTGTAAGTAACTCTGTTTACCTGCTTGGTTATGGTTGTAGCTCTGTAACTTATTCGATTTTCTTCACTTATTCAGATGGAGGCTTTCAGTCCACTTATCTCAGGCAAGCTCAGCTCTTCTGTTGTGCAGCAAACTTATATTTACTTCCACACAATAGTAAAATTTTAATTGTAGTGCCAGTAGCAATACTGCTGAACAAATGGCAAATATTGGTGTTAATCCATGCTAATGTCCATACCATGCACTTAAAATTTTCCAGGGAGTTTGAGCTCCTAATGTCAGCATGAGCTAAAATGTGTAGTTTGTGGCTACTTTTCATATCTGTCTGATCAATAATAGGGCAACAAAGTGTATGATCATACCTTCAATTTAAAGTATAAACATACGTACTTTGTTGGCTAACAGGGATGTTTGTAAAGACTAATCACTGAGATTCTTAGATTTGTAGATCTTGGGGTAACAAAGGCACTGTATTTATCTTGGGCTGATGGGCTTTTCAGCTTCCTTTGAACACTGTTGTAAATTCAAGTAGAACTAGATCTTACGTAAGCAACTGTGTAAAACTTAATTTAAATTATCCTTGATCTAGTGGAGCGAGGAACACCAAGAAACATTCAAGTTTACAATCCCACACCAAACAGCATGAATGTCCGATGGGAACCCGCTCCAGGTCCAGTACAGCAATATAGAATTAATTACTCTCCACTGTCTGGCCCAAGGCCATCAGAATCTGTAAGTAATTTAGTTTTTATACTATTCCTTAAAAGTGTGTGGAGGATATTGCTTCCTTCAATGAGTGTAGAACAATAATAATAAACTCAGGCCAACTGCCTGCCCAGGAGTGTCCCTGCTGAAAACACTGTGTCTGCAGAAATTTAGTCCGCTGTAAATAAAAAGCTTAATTTGGTGAAATAAAAGAAATAAGAAATAAGACTCTCTCATTTAAAACTGAGTATTGAGCATTGAGTATCCTTTATCATATTGTAGGCAAAGATAAGTTAAAAGAAAACCTTATTTATTTCCTTTTTTAAGAAGAGAGAAGAAAATAACAAATATTTATTAGGAAACGTTTAATTGAGAAACCAGATGCCAAGTTTATGTGATTTTACCACTAAACCATCTGTTTACCCCAAATCATTACTGTTTTAGTAGGTCTTGGTGAGCAATGAAGTCTGGATATGGGTAAAAATTTGCCCTCCAGATGGGAAGTAAGAGTTCTCGGATTTGTGTAGAAATAGGTGTGGTTTTAGATCTAAGCCTGTGAATGTACTCAGACAAAATGTACACCCATGTAAACGTGCAGATGAATAAGTTTTATGTAAGGAAGTGTAAGAATTTTTAATGAATATTTTTCATCTGTAAAGTGAAATTGCATATTACTTCACACATGAGTGGGAACCTGTCTATTAGTACCTGTTAGAAAATGTCCTTTATAAGTCAGTAAACCATGACAGAATTTACTTTCTTTGTCTCTGTTCCTGAATGTTTCTTCTTTTTTTTATGAACTGTTTTCATGTAAAATGTAAAAAATAACAATTCCATTGGCAGAATGAGAGCTTCTTATGTATTTGTCATTTTTTTTTGCCCCTACTTTCGAAATTTTATTGATATTGAGTATTTTAAACTTGTATTGCTTTTCTTGGGAAATGTGCAGTGTGGTAATGCTCCCAATTTTGCTGTATTTCATTCAAATTGTTAATTCTAACAAGACATGGTGTAAACTGAAGGTTTTTTTATATAGGTGCCTTTTATTTCTGTTTTAGATTGTGGTACCAGGCAACACTCGTGATGTCATGCTGGAGCGCTTGACGCCTGACACTGCTTACTCAATAAATGTTATAGCTCTATATGCGGATGGAGAAGGAAATCCAAGCCAGGCACAGGGAAGAACATGTAAGAGGCAATCAGTACTTGCTTTGTGAAATATATGTCAAAATTGGTGTGTGAGGAATTTATAAAATTGGTTACAATCACGAATAGTGTAAACCGTTCAGTGCAACTCTGAGATCAATGCATCTTGAGTTATGGCTGAAGCAATTAAATGCTTCTGTGGAAGGGAACTTTTGCTCTGTTGTCTGACAGTTGTGGTACATGCATAACTGCCAATGTAATTTTCACTTGTGAAATAAGCCTAATTTGAATGGTTAAGAGTTTAAAAGCCGTTCTTTAACATGTGATTACAGATAAATAGCAATTTGTCCTTTGGGTAGAATTTGCTGTCAACAGAAAAAAATGCGCTTCATGTTCTGTGTCTTAGATGATAATTGTATGTGTCAGCCTCCCCAGATGTTTGTTTTTTGCTGGAGATGCCTAAACGCCAAAACTCCTTGCTACAACTTAGCTTGTAGGATCTTGGCTTATGCGTGGCTTCTTTAAAATTCATTCTAGAAATAATGTGTAATGAAACTGTCTATGGCAGTAATAGGTCACCTCTCTTTTTCTGCTTTCTCTGTTAAATCCCCATATTAATCTAAATCTTGCCTATGTGACAGGCTATAGTTGTTTGCAAGAGCCTGAGAAGCAGAATGTATGGAGATGCTCACTTTACACCTCCTTCTGATGTGCTTTCCCTTCCATACTGCTCCAGTTCTTCCAGTTAAGGCCCTATTTCTATTTAAGACCTTCAGGCACTGCTGTATTGTCATTGACTAAATCTACCAGTATATGTTTATTCAGGGTTTCAGGAAGGGCCCTTAGCTTTGGCTTCAGGGCAGCATTTGAGTCGCTGAACTTGAAGAATCATACTCCACACAAACTTCTGTATTTTCTTTCTTTAGTGCCTCGCAGTGGTCCAAGGAACGTAAGGGTGTTCGATGAGACCACGAACAGCCTTTCTGTACAATGGGACCATGCTGATGGGCCGGTCCAGCAGTACAGAATCATTTATTCACCCACGGTGGGAGACCCTATCGATGAATATGTAAGTTCTGTAATTCCTTAGTAAGCACCAAGATGTTCTCGGTTGATTTTTTTTAGGCTACAGAAAAACAAAGACACCTGTTCCACTTGTAGTACACTTTGCATGCTCTGTGGGTTCTTTGGTCATTGTTGTCAATACTGAGAAGCCATGGTTTGTATGAAACAGTTTTTTGTTTTGTTTTGTTTAGTTTTGTTTTGTTTTGTTTTTCCCGACAAAGTTTCAGAACATATGTGGTTTAATGAACCAACTTGGGTGTAAAATAATGATAAATGTGTGAGTCACACATTAATCAGAAAATTTTGAGCAGAACCTGCTTCCTGACATTTAGTTCAAACATTGTGCTACAGTGAACAGCCATCTGTTACTTCATACTCTATTCATTATGAAGTCAGTGTGCTACGACACAGAATAAACATAGATTTACATTTTATAAATTGAAGAAAGTTGGTAGAGTTTATTAAGAAAGCAATGGTAACTTTGACTCAGCATCTAACTTGCTTTTGTAAGGTTCAGTATGAATTGTGCTTGTGTTTAATTTCCTGTAGCTTAATGATAGCACAAGTTAATCTGAATTTATAAAATTATCTGAGTGTTTATAGCAAAGCCAAACTCA